GTGTATTTTACTGTCCAAGGATAAAATGTTCTTTCTCAAGTGTATGTTACTGTCCAATGGTCAAATGTTCTTTCTCAAGTGTATGTTACTGTGTCAGGATAAAGTGTTCTTTCTCAAGTGTATTTTACTGTCCAAGGATAAAATGTTCTTTCTCAAGTGTATGTTACTGTCCAAGGATAAAGTGTTGATTCTCAAGTGTATGTTACTGTGTCAGGATAAAGTGTTCTTTCTCAAGTGTATTTTACTGTCCAAGGATAAAATGTTCTTTCTCAAGTGTATGTTACTGTCCAAGGATAAAAATGTTATTGGGCAGTAACATACACTTGAGAAAGAACATTTGACCATTGGACAGTAACATACACTTGAGAAAGAACATTTTATCCTTGGACAGTAGCATACACTTGAGAAAGAACACTTTATCCTTGGACAGTAGCATACACTTGAGAAAGAACATTTGACCATTGGACAGTAACATACACTTGAGAAATAACATTTTACCATTGGACAGTAACATACACTTGAGAAAGGGTAAAATATTCTTTCTCAAGTGTATGTTACTGTCCAATGGTCAAATGTTCTTTCTCAAGTGTATGCTACTGTCCAAGGATAAAGTGTTCTTTCTCAAGTGTATGCTACTGTCCAAGGATAAAGTGTTCTTTCTCGAGTGTATGTTACTGTCCAATGGTCAAATGTTCTTTCTCAAGTGTATGTTACTGTCCAATGGTAAAATATTCTTTCTCAAGTGTATGTTACTGTCCAAGGACAAAGTGTTGATTCTCAAGTGTATGTTACTGTCCAAGGATAAAGTGTTGCTTCTCAAGTGTATGCTACTGTCCAAGGATAAAGTGTTCTTTCTCAAGTGTATGTTACTGTCCAATGGTCAAATGTTCTTTCTCAAGTGTATGCTACTGTCCAAGGATAAAGTGTTGCTTCTCAAGTGTATGTTACTGTCCAAGGATAAAATGTTCTTTCTCAAGTGCATGCTACTGCTTAAGGATAAAATGTTCTTTCTCAAGTGTATGTTACTGTCTCAGGATAAAATGTTCTTTCTCAAATATATGATACTCTCCAAGGATAAAATGTTCTTTCTCAAGTGTATGTTACTGTCCAATGGTAAAATGTTCTTTCTCGAGTATATGTTACTGTCCAAGGATAAAATCTTCTTTCTCAAGTGTATGTTACTGTCCAAGGATAAAGTGTTTTTTCTCAAGTGTATGTTACTGTCCAAGGACAAAGTGTTGATTCTCAAGTTTATGTTACTGTCCAAGGATAAAATGTTCTTTCCCAAGTGTATGTTACTGTCCAAGGACAAAGTGTTGATTCTCAAGTGTATGTTACTGTCCAAAGATAAAGTGTACCAGTCTGTGGTGGGTCCCAAATATTATTTAAAAACTAATGTACACACGTTACAAGTTAGGTTTCTGTTTCGTTTATAAACCTTTCTAAGCCTAGAATCAGGATGTCTTGCACTTGGCTGCACCATACTGTACTGGGTAATCTCCTCAACCAGAACTTCATGGGATCCAAGAGGCCTGACCGTAAGCTGCTACCCAATGTGAACTATGAAGAGATAAAATAAAATATATACAAAGAACTTCAGCCACTCACGTATATCAATGTTAGAAAGGACTGTCGCATATTTTCATTTAAGGGGTGAGTATTAATTATTATGTGGGGAAATGTAATAATGTTGTAGTGAGGCTGTCATATATTTTCACTCAAGGGGTGACTGGGAGGCAAAAATAAAATAGTTTACACAAGTTGTTTATATTACCTCATCCATTGTCCTGTAAATAGGCATATATGCTATTTTATTTTTCTGCCCACGCTTGTGGAATGCCCCGGCGATTCCATGCAAAACACTTACTCCCTTTCTTTCCACGCTACTGCAGCGTTCAAGTCTGTTGCACTGGTTGGTGCGGAAGTTCCACTCGCAGGGGTAAAGGTACAGGTCATCTTCAAAACAAAACAACAGTGTTATCGGTTTTACTTACCTTTAATAAAAGTGATATAAAAGATTACTTTGTTTAGGTTTCCTAAATTTAAGAATGAACAGGTATTAAACCTTTATTTTACTACCCTAGTTTTGAACTGAGAACTGTGATACTTCACTGTTACTGTTATAACTCACTCACTATCCCAAAAGTTGTGGGACAAGTTGTGGTATCATACATATGTGGGACTAGTAGTGGTACTCTACATATGTGGTACCCTATATATGTGTGGGACAAGTTGTGGTACCCTATATATATGTGGGACAAGTTGTAATACCATACATATATGGGACAAGTTTTGGTACCCTATACATATGTGGGACAAGTAGAGGTACCCTATACATGTCGGACAAGTTGTGGTATCCTATATATGTGGGACAAGTAGAGGTACCCTATATATATTGGACAAATTGTGGTACCCTATATATATTGGACAAGTTGTGGTACCCTATATATTTGGGACAAGTTGTGGTACCCTAAATATGTGGGACAAGCTGTCTATAATATCCCATAATAAATATGTTTATATCAATAATACCACACAACACATATGTTTATATCAATAATATTACACGACACTTATGTTTATATCAATAATACCACACAACACATATGTTTATATCAATAATACTTTATTTCAATAATACCACACAACACATATGTTTATCTCAATAACATTACACAACACTTATGTTTATATCAATAATACCTTATGTCAATAATACCACACAACACATATGTTTATATCAATAATATTACACAACACTTATGTTTATATCAATAATACCTTATGTCAATAATACCACACAACACATATGTTTATATCAATAATACCTTATGTAAATAATACCACACAACACATATGTTTATATCAATAATATTACACAACTCTTATGTTTATCTCAATAATATTACACAACACTTATGTTTATATCAATAATACCACACAACACTTATGTTTATATCAATAATACTTTATGTCAATAATACCACACAAAACATGTGTTTATATGAATAATATTACACAACACTTGTGTTTATATTAATAATACCTTATGTCAATAATACCACACAACACATATGTTTATATCAATAATACCTTATGTCAATAATACCACACAACACATGTGTTTATATCAATAATATTACACAACACTTATGTTTATATTAATAATACCATACAAACTTACGTTTATGCTAATAACATCTGTCATAATGTATTTTGAAAACTAAAATGAATGAAACCTTTGTTATATTAAAATCCGGGGTTGATATTATTTTCAGTAAATTTTTGAATAAGAACAACATAAAAACAGCTCTATATGCACGAGGCTAAAAATATTCTGAAGAACAGCTGTGGCTAGAAATGAATACATAATATTATCAGAACACTGAACAGATGCGTTGGAGTTTAGACGTAGCACTACAGACTGTCCTAGCCTGTGAGACACGAGTTTCTTAAAGTCTGAGTTTTCTAGTCTAAAGCAGACTGTGTATTGCAATGTTTCTTTTGTAATTTTCCATCACTTACTAGATTATATCCTTACCAGAACATTAACTACGTACAACTGTCGTCATAATATGAAAGGTGTTCAACAAGACAAACAATAGTTTTATGTTATGGATCGTTAACTGCTCTCATTGGCAAACATTAATAATAGTCATTTTATAAAAGAAACGTTAATAATAGTCGCTTTATAAGAGAAACGTTAATATATAGTAGCTTTATAATAGAAACATTAATAATAGTCATTTTATAAGAGAAACGTTAATAATAGTCGCTTTATAATAGAAACGTTAATAATAGTCGCTTTATAATAGAAACGTTAATAATAGTGGCTTTGTAATAGAAACGTTAATAATAGTCGCTTTATAATAGAAACGTTAATAATAGTCGCTTTATAATAGAAACGTTAATATATAGTGGCTTTATAATAGAAACGTTAATGATAGTGGCTTTATAATAGAAACGTTAATAATAGTCGCTTTATAATAGAAACGTTAATAATAGTCGCTTTATAATAGAAATGTTAACAATAGTCACTTTATAATAGAAACGTTAATAATAGTCGCTTTATAATAGAAACGTTAATAATAGTCGCTTTACAATAGAAACGTTAATAATAGTCGCTTTATAAAAGAAACGTTAATAATAGTCGCTTTACAATAGAAACGTTAACAATAGTGGCTTTATAATAGAAACGTTAATAATAGTCGCTTTATAATAGAAACGTTAATAATATTCGCTTTATAAGAGAAACGTTAATAATAGTGGCTTTATAATAGAAACGTTAATAATAGTCGCTTTATAAGAGAAACGTTAATAATAGTCACTTTATAATAGAAACGTTAATAATGGTCGCTTTATAATAGAAACGTTAATAATAGTAGCTTTATAATAGAAACGTTAATAATAGTCGCTTTATAATAGAAACGTTAATATATAGTGGCTTTATAATAGAAACGTTAATGATAGTGGCTTTATAATAGAAACGTTAATGATAGTGGCTTTATAATAGAAACGTTAATAATAGTCGCTTTATAATAGAAACGTTAATATATAGTGGCTTTATAATAGAAACGTTAATAATAGTCGCTTTATAATAGAAACGTTAATAATAGTCACTTTATAATAGAAACGTTAATATAGTCACTTTATAATAGAAACGTTAATAATAGTCACTTTATAATAGAAACGTTAATATAGTCACTTTATAATAGAAACGTTAATGGTAGTGACGTCTCAAGATTATATGATCTGAGAAAGCTAACAATAATGCTATTCTATCAAACATTTTCTGCTGGTTTAACTGTGTGGAAATACAAGCAATGTGATAAAGATTAATGTAGGGTAAAACTTGATTTCCTTCTACTTAGAGTTTAAGTAAGTTTGGATTTCCTACCTGGATAATAATGAAAATAAATACTGACAATGTCCTGATCACCAAACTTTATATGACCTTTAAAAAACTGGTATATTTTCACAATCCTGCCTGACCATAACGACGACCGAAGTTTCGTTAAGTTCATCAGCCACACCCCACCGTTTACACCTGATGAAAAGTGTTCAACACTGTGATATAACACTAAACTGATATTATATGTGATATAACACTAAACTGATATTACATGTGATATAACACTAAACTGATATTATATGTGATATAACACTAAACTGATATTATGTGTGATATAACACTAAACTGATATTATGTGCGATATAACAATAAACTGATATTATGTGTGATATAACAATAAACTGATATTACATGTGATAAAACTGATATTATATGTGATATAACACTAAACTGATATTATATGTGATATAACACTAAACTGATATTATGTGTGATATAACACTAAACTGATATTATGTGTGATATAACAATAAACTGATATTATATGTGATATAACACTAAACTGATATTATGTGTGATATAACACTAAACTGATATTATATGTGATAAAACTGATATTATATGTGATATAACACTAAACTGATATTATATGTGATATAACACTAAACTGATATTATGTGTGATATAACAATAAACTGATATTACATGTGATAAAACTGATATTATGTGTGATATAACACTAAACTGATATTATGTGTGATATAACAATAAACTGATATTATATGTGATATAGCAATAAACTGATATTATGTGTGATATAACACTAAACTGATAATATATGTGATATAACACTAAACTGATATAACACTGTGATATAACACTAAACTGATATTATGTGTGATATAACAATAAACTGATATTATATGTGATATAGCAATAAACTGATATTATATGTGATATAACACTAAACTGATAATATATGTGATATAACACTAAACTGATATTATGTGTGATATAACAATAAACTGATATTACATGTGATATAACACTAAACAGATATTATGTGTGATATAACAATAAACTGATATTATGTGTGATATAACACTAAACTGATATTATGTGTGATATAACACTAAACTGATATTATATGTGATATAACACTAAACTGATATTATATGTGATATAACACTAAACTGATATTATGTGTGATATAACAATAAACTGATATTACATGTGATATAACACTAAACAGATATTATGTGTGATATAACAATAAACTGATATTATGTGCGATATAACAATAAACTGATATTATGTGTGATATAACAATAAACTGATATTATGTGTGATATA